CACAACCAAAGCAATCAGACGAGGAAATATCTGAGGTCAAATATCACAGAAAGTCAGCAGACAGAGACTTACAAACACTCTTAACAATAGCTGTTTCGCTATGAATTATTCAATACAATCAGCTATCAGGTTTAGCGCTTATGAGGTGGGAAATTCCTACAAACATTTTTTCAATTGTTGGTTGACTGAGCAAATTAATCCACGCGGATTATCAGATCAAATCAGTTATTTGAAAACTTTGAGACTAGAGATGCACCGATTGATCGGCTGGTGACCGGAATCGGACGATTTTCACGTGATCGGCCATAATCGACGACCGGCCAGTGAATCTGACATAATCCGATTTTATGCCAGTCAAATGCACTCGGGCGCCGTATGATTAACATCGCGCAACATCAGCATCACAAGTGCACACAGAACGCACACATGTAGGAAACCTCGTGAATTACGGCCGTTTCACACCGCAAGCGGGAGCAGCACGGTTTTTATTTTGTTCGGCGTGCATGTAAATCAATGAGTGCATTCACACCTGGTGCCGGAGCATCGCGTGAGCGTCGAGCGGGAGCGTCGCGTGAGCAACAGTGAAGCGCGGGTTTCGGCGCCGAGTCTAGTTTTGCTGCGCTCAATTTAAGTGAAAGCACACTTTTGATGGACAAAATAAATAAGATTTCATCCAAAAAGTGCCCAAAATGCACAGAATTTGCATGTCTGGTGTGTTTTAACAAGAACTGAAGTCGGCTAGGCTATGTCAGAAAATAAAATGAAGACTCAAAAATATTTATAGAAAATGTACCCATTTAAACTTGTTTTTATTATTTCCCAATCGTTTCCCTGCACATTCTCCACTTTAGCCTGGCTGGACATGTGTCAGATGAGAGAAGAACTGTTTGAGAAATATAACTTGCCATTGATGTACAAGTGATTGCAATAGGCCTGTGTGTGTGTGTGTGTGAAATATCTTTATATACAGAATATACAGAAGTTTAGTTTGCTAAATATATTTAAAAAAAAATTGTTGGATATTGGATGTGAAAAGAAGGAAATGGTTCTTCCATAACACTGCACTTTAGATGTGTGTGAATTTCCCACACCAGAGGAGTAATTCATATAGTTCTATTTTATAGCGATTATATCAGTTCAAAAAATTTTCTATGCAAAATGTTCTATTAAAGAGATGATAGAAAATAAATATTTGTGTGTGCTGTAACGTGGTTTGAAAAAATGAAATCGGAATCGGCTAAAATCGGTATCGGCAGGTCAAACTCAAGGAAAAAATCGGAAATCGGGATCGGCCTAGAAAATTGTAATCGGTGCATCTCTATTTGAGAGACACAATTGCACAAACAGCGAAAGTGATTCGGCGCTTCACATAAACACGTGTTTTGTACAAGTGAGCTGCACGCTGATTTCCCTCGCATTTTGTTACAGAATTGTCCCAATCGGGCCATTGTTGCATCATTACTAAAGTTTATATGCACAACATGTTAATTGCTTTCGGTAGTACTCGCACTCTGTCTGAGACGATTTTTGTGCGCTCATATCCGGAGAGCACACATATAAAGCCGGCTCTGAAACAGCTTGTGAGTACCAAACAGAGTGCTTTTTTTGTGGCTCATTGCGCTTAAACGGTCTGAATCACACAAAATGATGTCAAAATGCCCGCCTTGTCTAGTATTAACATAAACACAAGTCGATGATGTGTGAAGTGAAGGTAAACAAGTTCAGGAAGAAAACGCATGTGTATCAGTATATTGGATCCGTTCATTAGGCCAGCTCTTAAAGTGACAGCAGCCTAATATAGCCTACCTGCTGCTGTCGGTCATTTATGTTAAGAACCAAAGATAGTGAGAAGAATTCATCTGTACTTAATTTATACAATGAACGATTCAATTTATATAGTTTTCCTGTACCTGAATACTGTTAGACAGACCTTATGCTTGTAATTTGTTCTTGTTTACTTTGTAAATTTTATTCAAGGTTGAAATCAAGCTACCTTGTGCTGTGTGTAAACTGTAAACTCACGCGCAACAAAATTGCCTCATTGTAAAAACACAAATACATAGAGCATACATTTAGGTGAGATAAATACAATTTATCAAATTAAAACATCCCCCCCCCCCCATAAGTCACCTAAGGGGGGAAATCCCCCTATTTTCCAAAAAAAAATTCAGGCCCTGGACTATAAGAGCTGTCATTTTTCCTGCAAGTTTTACAAGATGATTTTACAGTGTAGTTAAACAAAAAAATATATATATATTATTGACATATTGATAAACCTCTCTCAGTCAGAATCAAACGCCAATGTTAAACTGCTATTATCATCGTAAAATGACCTCACTAAAAAAAGAACCATAAACTATCTGGCAGAAACAAAGCTATGGCGCTCACAATCTGTCATTTTCAAACCATAACAAACTCACAGCAAAGCAGTAAAATTATTTTGGGGGCTTCGGAACCAAAAGCTTTCCTTTTTTTCCTGTTCATTCCTACAGTCTGCATTTTTGTGAACTGCCTTTGGATGAGAACGAAATCAGAGATATCTGTGTGGATCCCAGCATGCACTGCACAGACTATCAATATTGACACAGACACGAGATACCATGTGTGCTCAGGATCAGAGCTGTAGTCGTCTTGACCAATTCTTATTTTCAGACCCTTCTTCAACACAATACGAGGAGGAAAACCAGGGTAACACTATGGCACTTGAGCGAAGTCATTTCATAACTAGACCTAGGGTTTGTTAAAGGAGAACTCCGGCGCAAAATGAACCTCGGGTGTAATAACACATTGGTACAGACTAAATCGTTCCCTGAGATTTGTTTTCATGATAATCGAATGTAAAGAGTTTTATCTCTAAAAACAGTTTAGCTTATAACGCTAGTATATTGGCATAGAGTAAGCAAAAAGAGATCGCTAGTTAATACCACTAACAAGGCTCAAATTAGCCCCACACTAACAGGGCAGCATAATGAGGGTCCTTACATGCAAACGAACCACGAGGGTGAGCGAACAGTACGTGTAGATATTGAAGATAAGATAAATTATATATATATTTATATATATTTTTTTTTTTTCTCTGTTGCGTTCAGTGCTTCTCTTTAAAAGTAAAAAAGAAGCAGGAATGAACTATATACATATCCTATATTGGATATTAACATCCAATAGTGTAAATCGCGGCAGCAGCTTCGGGTTGGTAGTCCAAGGCACTGTTGTCTATCTGTGAGTGAGTGAGTCTATCTGTACTTCCGGGGTTCTTCCCACCGGAGCCTCGCTTTCGATTTCAAAATGGCGGCTGCGTGAAATCAGCGGATTAGCTCCTTTACGCACAGTCAAACTACAATAAATGCACAAATAATTTTTCCACAATCTTCTATTGGCAATGGCAATTTGAGATGCTATACATCATGCAGTAAGCATTAATAATAAAAATTAAATTGCAGATATTTGAGGATTTATTTTTATTTACAATTTGTGCAAAACACTGAAATGTATAGCCTAATGAGTAATGAACTTATCTGCATGTAACTAACTAACCATCACCCAGATAGACATTTATTAAAGCATTAACTTATAAGCACTTGTAATGTACAGCGGTCCTGAAAAACCTTCAGACAGATGTACAGCCTGCTCGGTTCCATGCTTAGCGACTCGTTTAAAGAGGTTCTATGATTCTCTCGCATTGATGAGTGCAACACAACTCTTATAAAGGACATGCTACTTTTCTTGATTGTGCTTCAGGGAAAAATAAAGGGGGAAAAAAATAACGTGTTTGAACACGTCTAGAAACACCTAAACCAAGATACCTGCACCTGTATGTGTCAGGTAAGCAAGCTGTTTTTTACCGTAGATAGTTTGATTACAGCAAGTCTTGTTTTCATATGTGCAGAAGAAGCAGGCATGGGTATAACTATTATTTTCAATAAATGAGTACTAGTGCCAATATTGTCCTTCTCGGCCATTGCACACTTTAACAACCAATAGATTGTTTAGAATAATCATTGAAGTGACAGATTGGACATTGTCCAGCTGCATTAGTAATATGATAAGGCACATATAAGCTACATGATTGTATAAATTTAAAAATGTATAAACTATTTAATAAGTCACTAATACAGAGACAATAATCATAATATAAATAATAATGTAAAATAATAGAAACTAAATTCCAAACAATTTTTTACACATTTATCCATTTTCCACAGTATTTGGGAGTCTGCAAATGAAAATACATAACGGCCATTTATGTTTTAGGATGGGGGTCACTTGGACATGGCATCTAAAAGACTGTAAAGGCCCCGATCCACATGATCATCAACATCCTGTCAATTGTATTATTATCTAACACCTTGAATGGATCTAAAATGACCAAACAACTCGAGTTCAAAGCGTTGTCTAAATAAAGAGGATCCCACAAAACAATGACCAAACCTCTTAATCACGTCCTAATAAAGCCAACCAGATGATCAAACTTCTTGAGTGGTTCTTAAAAAACCTAACTTACATGATGAAGATCAAAACCCAATTCCCATAATGATCAAGCCTTAACCAACTTAATCTATTGATCAAACACCTCAATCTGATAAGCAACCTGTTCAAACATCTTAACCTGTCAAACTCCTATAAACCTGATGAACAAGCCCCGTGTTTGGGTAACGTTAACGTTATAAGTTACATGGATCTCAATTTGACAGATGTTCCCTGAAAGTCTAGTGTCCCATCGGATCATAATAGTTTTAACACAACCATGATCTGAAAGTTTGAGGTAATTCTAACTTTAGACAAACCTCAGCTCTGAAGATGAAACGTTTACATTTATTGGTCACAAATGACTGATCATGAGTTCAGATGGGCTAACGTTACCAGCCCAGCACACACCCGTGTGTTTACACCAGTCTAGCCCTTTGTAAACTAGTGTGAAACTCGACCAACACGCCTTTAACTAGCTTTTAGGTCTGTTAACGGTTAACGGGGAGCAGAATATAAGTAAATAGGCTCGGTACCGGCCCGGGTGGTGTCGGTGAGGTCGTGTCCGGAGGCGCTCCTCGGGAACTCCTTCAGTTTCCTGCCGCTCAGGTTAAGAGCTCCAGTGGCCGCCGCCTCGTCCAGCGCCCGATCCAGCGAGCGGTTCCAGGGCGAGGGTCCGGGAGCATTGGATAATCCGTGATGGGTAGTTCCCGCAGAAGCAACTGCGGCGGGATGGCCGACGGTAAAAGAGGGCACGGCGTTTTCCGCGGAGAGCAACACCGAAGCCGCCATTACACAGCTAACACTCCCGCTGGATCCTCACGGGCCCCACACACGAGCGCGGACAGTGGCAGTGCGCATGCGCGGGCGCACAGAGGGCAGAGAGGGGTCTGAAACCAGACAGATCCAACGGAGCACGAGCGAGGACACTAGTGCATGCGTGGATTGAAGGCTCAGCGTTAAAAAGTCCAACCAGGGGTGCGTTTCCCGAAAGCATCGTTAGCCAACTATAGTCGCAAGTTGGTCGCAAATCCCACTGAACTCTATTGGTAACGACGGAACTTGCGACCATAGTTGGCTAACGATGCTTTCGGGAAACGCACCCCAGTCTGGGTTGTAGGGAATTATCCCAAACTTCTCCTTTATTGTGTCCTATTCTAATTTTTATCATAGTCTAAATTCATAAATGCATGCATTAAAGGGTAGTTGACAAGTATCATGAACATGACTTTTCTTAGTAAACAAACAAATAAATTAATATTCTTTTACTTATTTTATTTTTTAAATTCAATTAAAGTGTTCCTTATGTAGGAAAATGGCATGGTAAATAAATGTCAATGCATGATCTGAGATACAAACTTATTCAAGTTTGTTTATATATAGTCAAGAAAAATATGTTTAGATTTGTGGATCTATGATCGATAAACTCTTGCAAGTGTGAGACATATAAAAGTAGTTAAATCAAAAAAAATTATTTACCTATAATAATGTTTTTTAATATATAAATATGCAAACGGCCCCCTACTGGTCAATTATAAAACTGAGAATAGGATTGTCTACTCTATTTTAACCCTTCTAATAAATCATTAAAAATCACAACCTGTATTATAATTTTAATAAAAAGCCATTATCATAAACAACTATTCCCACATTATGCTAACAGCCAAAAAAGATTTACATTTGTGTAATGATAAGCGTTTGTATGTATATGTGTTTTATATCATTCCTATATGAGCCCCTTTATTGATCCACAGAAAAGAATCTAGCTCTATTTTATCCTGATTGGAATCAGTAACAAGATAAATTGTGTTTTAAAGAGTTAGTCTCTCTAAATAAATGTAAGAGTATTTTAAATGATTTGTTTACAGATTTACCTGATTGAAATGGTTTTTACTAATTGTATCATTTTTTTTGTAAATATAAATAATGTATTTATTTTCATTTTTAAATTTTATTTTCATGTTTAACTACGTGTGCTGTCTGTCCTGGCCAGGATGCTCTTGTAAAAGAGATTTTTTTAATCTCAAGAGTTTTTTCCTGGTTAAAAAAAGGTTACAAATACATTTTTACAAAATATTTTAAAGGCAAAAAAAGACATTTTAGATTTAAAAGTATTTTTTTTTTTTTTTTTTATGTTCTCTACACACAACTGAATATGTGGACCTTCATTTCCTTGAGCAAATGGTCAAAGAACACACATTCAGCTCTAAATGTAGAGGAAAATCCAATAAAGGTGCATAGTACCAAATAATGTTAATCAACATGAACTGGTCCAAAAACCTAGAACACAGAAAATACATTGCAGCATTTCTTTTAAACAATCATGTGTTGTTGTTTTTTCCACAGAAAAAGTTGAAAGTCATTTGTAGTCTTGGGTTTATTGCCTCGGTTATGGATTCAGCAGCAATATTGATAGAAGTTCCACATTGGAATGTTTCAGAATATAACGTTCTTCCAGCTTTTGAGTAAGGCACAAGAGACCGTGGTGTTGTGATGAAAAAGCTTGAGACATATAAAGATTAAATAAGAAAGGGGGAATGATCAAGTGATCTTCAGGCAAGCCAGGAGAAGAGACCAAACTGATGACCATTCATTTCACATTCCCATCCTGATGCTCTGAATGATCTGGAATATTGCTGTAGTGAGAAGACAGAGAAATAACATTAGAACACAAACATTTGATCTTCAGAAAATGTAAAGTATCTAAGAATTCGTATGATCTGCTCATGTCATATTTAGTCCTTGCCATTTCACCAGAAGAGAACATAAAATATAAGAAACAACAATGACAGCATATCACATGTTGAATAATGAGAGCAAAGAAATGTTATGGGGTCTTTGAAAAAAAGTGTACGTTGGTTAGAGTACACTAACATTGAATTAAGTGCTCATGCATGTGAAAAACTCTTTTTGAACTTCAAGTTTAAAGAAATAAAAACGAAATGTCTAAGTACAGACATTTCCCTTTATTATTTATCCAATATAACATCACAATTTCTGAATCGTATCGTGTACAAAGAAAACAAGAAATTAAAATTTTGTCTGTGGATCAGGTTAGAAACCTGTCTGCAGCATGAATGCACTTTGTCCTTTTAAACAGAGTTATGAAATTAAGTTCATGTTTGGCATGCTGATGTATTTGATTTTAAAAAGTCATCAGTTACTTAATTCAAAGAGTGATCCTTTTAATGCATTAGACATCACATTCAATGAAAGTGGATGTTTTTCGGATTGTAAACTCACCTGATCCACATACTACAAAGACGAACAAGGCAAGAAGCCACGGTCCCACCACTCCCTTCTCTTCTTGGGTGCCTCTCTGTTGAGAAAATATCAACATTAGTATATTTAGAGACATACATTAGCTAACGTTACTTCTAAAGAAAGCCAATATGATCAACTGGACAAATTAAAGCTCCTCTACATGACTAAACCAATGTCCAGTACAATACACGAAGTAAACCTTTACTGTAGAGCAAACAGCAGTAAGACCTATTTTAGATACATTAAAATAATTACTATAGTAAAAGTCAGAGTGATAAAAGCTGAAAATTACCGTGGATTTGGCCACATTGCCTCTTAGAGTGATGTTCTTGCTGTGTTTCTCATTCGCCATGCGAATCCTCTGTTTGGCCACCATCTTTTACTACTAATTTGATGTTTTTAAAGAAAGAAAGAAGAAGAAGCGTCGAGACCGACAGAGATCCGAGAGGCTGTGTGATCAGTTGACGTGTGATCTTGCCACTGCACTGGTTTAGTCTACGTGTTCATAAGAGGAACTCACTCCACCCACGAGACGTGGACGCTTCGAAAGAGAATAAATGAGTAGAATGGCAATCCGGATGAAAAGGAAATAATAAAATGGGCGGCGACTAACCAGCTGATTAATCTAAACTATATATATATATTCTATTTTAGTTATTTTCAGTGTATCTTTTTTCTTGCCATTGAGTATAACATTTATTTTATTATTTATATATATATTTTTCCGGAGCGCTTCAAACCAAACGCAGAGTTGTTGTCACGTGGTAAATGTTACTTTAATCAGCGCTGGCGGTGTTGGACCAATCACTGCTAGTTAAAAAAAAAAAATATATATATATATATATATATATATATATATATATATATATATATATATATATATATATATATATATATATATATATATTGTAAAGGTTGCTTGAGTAAATATTCATTTGTGTGTGTTAAGTGGCAAACATCGAATAGAATACGCTATTTTTAGCGTAAAAAAATTTCATTAAAACAGATTTACAAATTGTTATGCGGCTAAATGGAACATTGAGTGAATGGCAATGGCCGCCGATCGCCCCCTAGAGGATTGTTGTGTGTTTTACAGAAAATTGTTTTTTGCCCTCACGTTCATCTCAAAAAACACGAGGCTCTTTTTAAAATACCCATTGAGGAAAAACGTCATTATTTTTACGCCGCAATTATTTAGTGCATTAGTCAGTCATGGGAACATATCTGTTCCAAATTGCTGAGAAAAAAATACTGTCATCAGAAACCATTCATCAAAGTTCATTTTTTTCTACGAAGTTGGTCAACACTTGTCCAAAACAAAATTATTGTTATTATTATTTACTAAGCTATATTCGGCTTATTTGAAAAGACAATACACAATCAATATCACGCATTAAAATAGTCTATACAACTGTACTAAGATTTGTTAGGGATAAAAACATAAATAATTCAAATAAATCCTCTCCTGAAAATCGGAAAGAACCGACATTATGTATAAAACCTTTACTTTATGAATTTGGTTTTGACATTTTACACGTCAAACTCTCTAACTGTAGTGACGTCGGTGTTGAACTGCTATGACGTGGTACGTTGTCGTACTTCCGTTTCAAAATGGCGCCCCCCACACCTCATTTAGCAGGTGAGTTGTTGCTCTAAAATGTGTTTTCATGCTCATTTCAGTTGCGTTAAGATAAATAATCAACGTGAGAAGGCAAGCATGTTATGAAATAACTGCATGTCTTTTCTTCTCAAGGTTTGCAGACATATAAAGGCATGAACTCATTCCTGTCATGTGCGCAATTTTCTTAACGTTATTTCAGCGTAATGTGAGACCACGTATACTACGTATCAGCATGTCACATATGAAAATATTAAATACATATATATTATATTTAGCTGATGATCAGCTGATAAATGCTTTGTAGTGCATGTCAACTTAGGTCAGGGTTTGTTGATGATGCTTTTTCTTACTTGAGAATTTTTTTAAAAACTGTATTAGTTTAAATAATTTTCAAGCTGCATCCACCAAACTCAGAAAATCCCTCAGCTTGTTCTGATTTAATAGACTTATTTCCCCCCCCCATGGTTGACCATCAAAAATCCCCCAAAGTCCCACAGACTTACATTGAAAAGTCTATTCATCCACCAGTCCATCTGTCTGTACAGTGCAAAATTCCGATTTATTTTCAAAGTAACCCAAATATTAAATCTACACAAGATTTATAACCTTTACACTTTAAGGCTGAAGTTTGTTTTTGTCAAGCCAGCATACAATTTTTGTTTTCCTTTTCCATTTCAAACAGTCAGAGGATCAGATGGAACGTTGCTGTTGTGTGGACCTCCGAGCTGTCAGGAAAGCTCTGCTTTTCAGAGGTCAGTTATTGCATTTGCTGCACTTAGAAAGATTTTACCATAAAACTTTGTTCGCTTTAGTAACGGTAACGGTTTCATTCGTTTCAGAGATGACCGGCAAGGCAAACACATGACATTCAGCAGTGATGGGTCCCTGTTTGGCTGGTGCAATGGCTCACAGTACGTACTCTGTAATACCTAACACATTTCCTAACTAACCCTTTTTAGTTGACTTAACTTATAGTACA